GGGGGGTTAACACAAGGACCTCACATGACATTACATTACTGGTACAGCTTTGTTCCAAACAAGAAACAAATAGACAAGAGCTTCTTGGATAAAAAAACACTTTATTTATTCTTTCTGTTCCGTCTTTAAAGTGCAGTATTGAGATGTTGAGACTTCTTGACAAAGGAGCCAATATAACACAAGAAACCCAAACACCCCCCCCCAAAAAAAAACATCGTGTTTTGAGCAAGAGAGAACATTCTTATTACATTTACAAAGATTATTGCCAGCTGTTTTTCAAGGCACTTTAGGGCCAAGGTAGCGTAAACACGCAAATACAGGTTAGCTGTGATGCTAACTCAGAAGAGGTGCCAGTCTATTTCTTGGAAACGCGGGTGGCAGAGACATGATTTCCCAAGTCTTTTTTCCTCCTCCACTTTTGACATCATGTCACTCCTCATTCCACTTAATGCTTGCATATATAAAGCGTTCATATTTCAAGCTGCAGCTCTTGTTCAAGGAGAGTTTGCGCTTTGATTTGTAACAATAAACGTCCATTACGGCTGTGATGTAACGGAGTGCTTTTAGAGTGCTCTCCGAGGCTCATGAAAATCAGGTTTAGAGGCATCCCACCCACTTTTACCAAATGGACCAACGCCATCAGAAAGCACCTTGGACTCATTCATCAGCTGGCCGACATGAACAGTATTTTAGTGAGTTAGTTCTTTCCCACTTGCATATTTCATTGATGGCTTTCCAAATTCTTTTTTATTTATTTTTTTTAAAGGGAATGTGTCAGTGTCACGGTGACCTCGCCTGTTCCGTGAATGTCACTGATCTGAAGAGGCTGGTAGAAGGCCGCCGCTCTCATGGTGCAGGCCCCGCCCTCCGCCGTACAGAAGTACAGCCAGACGCTCAGCGTGAGGCCCGCGCGCAGTTGCTTCGGAGCCTCCGGAAGCTTGGTGGCGACGCGTAGCGGCTTTGACAGATCCGCGATGGCGCCGGTGACCGCCTGAGCGCCGAGGAGCCACTCGTCACCTAAGGGGAGCCAAGCAAGAAGAAAACATTCCATGCATCATATGAAGTAGTCACGAAATAAAAAGTGAACTTGGCTCATTTCACCACACTGTGTGACGCAAACAAAAAAGAAAAAGAATCCAACTGGTCTCATTCAATCAGGAAGCGACGGAGCAGAGTGAACACGGACGGGAGAGGGAAAACTAATTCTTCCGCTGACGCCGATTGCTCAAAAGGCGTTCCCGGGAGAGCCGTGATTAAAAAGCCGCCATTTCGCCCCGACTGCGTATGCTGAAATATCCGCTGCGGGCTGATGGGATCGGCTTCAACACTCGCGTAACATAGCCCGGGCGCTAATTATCTGAAGCGAGTCGCCGTGCTCTTATCGTGCTGGGATGAAAAATTGTGTCGCGCCGCTCATATCGCGAACGCGCCAGCTCGCCGCTTGGCTCGGAAGGAGGGGAAAAACGAGGACACTTTACGACGTGGAGTCCGGACTGACACTCAATGGACATACGGAGGCACAGACATGACGAATCTGCCCCGTTATAAGGAAACGATCAGTTGTTCACGTCAATTCGAGACGGCACAATCGGACGGGTGTCCCGAGGATGGGCAAGGTCGACCGCACGCACCAAACAATAAACCGCGAAAGAAACGGGCAACGCGGGTCTCACCTTCGGCGGAGAGGGCCCAGCAGCTGGGCGCCTCGTCGGTGAGTTTGGCACCTTTGGGAAGCGACAGCGCGAGCGACATGACCACGGTCTGTCCGACACACACCGACACCGGCGGCATGTCTATCCTGACGGCTCCTCGAGGCATCTTGGGGGTGGCGGCGGGAGGCTCGGCTTTGGCGGGTGCCGTGTCCGGACAGTCGGAGGAAATCACGAACTGGGGGAGGAGGACGTAAAAGGTGGAGGTCGGTGACCGGAGGTGAAGCCGGCCGAACCGTGGCCAAAGCATCTTACCGGCGAGACGGTCTTGGAGCGCAGGTCCAGTATTTTGACTCGGTGGTTGTTGGTGTCGGCGACATAGAGGAGCTGCCCACCGGCGCCCACGCAGATTCCGCCGGGCTCGTTGAAGCGACAGGTGACAAAATCGGGGCCCGTGGCGTCGCCTGCTTCTCCCGTGCCGGCCAGAGTACTGCACTGCTTGGTCTGGGGGTCCACCACTTTAATCTGCGCCCACGCATTGATTAAAGCAGCAGGCCCTCGAGGGCCTGCTGCACGCGCAGCCTCAAAAGCAAAGACCAACACGGATCAAATCGCTCCCTGTACGGGTGGGAGTGGCCAAATGTCACTCTTGAAATGCAGACGCAGCGGCAAAAATGTGGTCAAACCTCCCACCTTGTGATTGTAGGAGTCGGCCACGTAGAGCAAGTTGCGCTGCGGGGACCAGGCCACGCCGAGCGGATGCTGCAGTTTGGCCTCCAAGCCCTTCCCGTCCACGTCCCCGAAAGCAAAGAGGTTCTGGCGCAAGTGAGGCAAAAGCGTGTCAGGCGACTCGACGGAAAACCTCACGGGTCGCTCTTTCACAGCTAAACCGAACGGCGGATGAGTCGTTGTCAGACCAAGACGCCGAAAACATTCATGGGGCTCGTGACTCCCAACCCCCGGCCGGGCCTTATCAGGTGTGCCGCCGGAAAGGACGCCGTTTCATTTCATGGCTGCAAAGTCATGTTTCTCCGTTCGTCGATCCGGGCCCACAACGCGAGCGACGGACAGAATGAACAAGTCAGCGGTGAGTCAATCGAGCCGTTTGACAGCCGCGAATCGTTTCATTTTGGACGTCCTGAAAATGCTTCCGACGGCACATGGAAGCCACTCACGGCGTGTCACAATTCCAAAAGGATCCGACAAACGGGAGTTTGGAAAGAGGCCGCGCGAGCTTTCACCCACCGTGGGGTCTCTCCCGCCGCCGACCAGCGGCTTGACGGCGCCGTCTTTGAGGGCCAGCGTGCGCACGGTGCTGCTCTCGCTGTCGGCCACGAAAAGGCAGCTCCACGGCTCCTCGGGGGCGGCGGCCAAGCCCGAGGGCTGGGCGAAACCGGCCTTGTGCGGGTAGGCGTTGTTGCGGTTCTCCTCGCTGCCGCTGCCGGCCCATCGCACGCACGTCCCCGCCTTGGACTCGCTGTCGACGTGAGAATGGCGTTATGTAGATCAGACTCTGCGGGAACCGTTTCGGGAAAGCCTTTTTCTGTCTCGAGTGCGGCCCCCCCGAGCCTGTTTCACCTTCCTCTGGGCAGTTTCCCATCGGCAAGAAACAAGGCCCAAATCTGGTGGGTCCCCGCCATGGCCACCCACAGCACGTTGTCCTCCGCGCCACCTACACACAACCGGGACACGCCTGTCACCAAGTCTGGCTCTCGACCACATCGGCTCAATGACAAGTTGTAAAATTGCAACCCCCCCCCCAAAAAAAAAGTATTCTCACTTTCCAATGAAATCGGAAATCACACACACACACACACACACACACACACACACACACACACACGGGGAGAGGGCCTTGAACAAAATATATGTATCACTAACCGGCCGAGCCGAGCACGAGGTCCCAGGGAGAGCTGATTGGCTGCCGATCTCCCACGCCGCCGCCATCTTTGTCCGTGCCTTGGACGCCCAGGCCGGCCAGCGTGCTCACCCGCCCCTCCGACAGGTCGATCTGCGTTGACGGACGGGCACGCTTCAGCGGGAGGCACAAAAAGGGAGTTGGACGGAAAGAAAAGCGAGCGTTTGACCTTTCGGATGAGGTGGTTCTCCGTGTCGGCCACGTAGACCACGTCGCCCTTCATGGCCACGCCCTGAGGGGAGTTGAAGGAGGCTTCGGACAAGGCGCCATCTCGCCTTCCGCTTTCAGGCCCTGGACCCCCCCCAAAAAAAAAAAAAAAGATTGCGGCTTTGCAATCAATCCTGTTCACAGGGAATGAATCCATTCCATTGAATCAACTGATTTTGAAGTTAGACGTTGGCGGGAAAACATTTCTAGAAGACTGAATTAACCACTCATTTCAAACATTTGACTCAGATTATGTTCTTTCATTCCTTTGAATAAGTCCATTAAGTGTTTATTTCATGAGAAAAAAAAAAAAGAGAACAGGCCCCCTCGTCCAGCATGTGTTTGGAGAGCCCAAAGCAAACAGCAGCCGCCGAATGAGTTCAGCCGACAGAAATAAAAGTCCCACTGGGCATTTTTGTCCCCGCCATGGAGGTCGGGGCCAGTTCCCAGCGTGCGCGTCGGCCCGGGCGCTGCCAATTTGTGCTTCGGCCTGGGAACAGCGGCGGCGGCCGTGTGGCTCCTACGAGGCTTTTTGAAGCATGGGAATGATCTAAAAATATCCCCAAAGTGCTGCGGGGGTTTTTTTTTTTTTTTTCCTCTGAGGTTGCGATCATGGTTTAGGGTGTTGAATGGTCGCACTTTGCGGAAGGCGAAGCAAAACCACATCAAGCACCCCCATCCGGATGAATGTTGCATAATGCAGATTTCACGCCCACCCAAAAGCTTGATCGCCGCTTTTTTTTTTTTCTTTTTAAAGAACATGAACAGTGTCTGCATTGTATTTCTGTTGTTGATCATTGAAGGAAAGAGGGCACGTTACCTCCAACGACGTGCAAGAGCCGACGAGTCGAGGACACCACCAGAACGCGGTGATGTCCCGTGTCCGCAATGGCCAGCCTGTCGCCGGTGCGGTCCGCGCAGACCTTCCCGGGAAAAGACAGGATGCTGGGGGGCAGGGAGTCCCGGTAGAGCTTGACGCCCACCGGGTGGGCCCGCAGCAGCCGCTTGTCGCCGTAGTAACGCAGGCTGACGTCGGCGAAGAGCATCAACCTGTGGCGGTGGCCCTCGCCCACCAGCGCGAAGAGCAGGTTGCCGCGCGGGCCCACCAGGACCAGCGTGGGCCAGCAGGAGACCTCCAGCCGGTTCCAGAGAAGCGCCTCGCCGTCGTTCACCACCGGGTGGCGGAGGTCGTAGCGCAGCACGGCGCTGCGGACGTTGTCCAGGACCTTGGAATTTGGAAGGAGAAAAATGTCATTGCCATTCGGAGGCCCGATGCGCGCCCAAAGTCAGCAGCGAGAGTCACATCGAAATCCGTGTCCATTGTGAGTGTTGCCTTACCTTTTCATTGGGGAATTTGGCTGAATGCACGCCAACAATAACCAGTCCATCTGAGATGACATGAAAAAAAAAGATACAATGTGTTAAAGGATTTGTAAATGCATGAAAGGGTTGGAGTATGTTTATTTTTGTTTGCAAAAGAACTCCAACCAACGGTTTGGATCTCTGCCTTCCATTTTTTTTTTTTTTTTAATTACAACAAATTGCGTACTCCTGCTCAAGAACAAGTTGTTGTCGTGTTCTCAATGGCTCCACAGAACTTAACGTGACAACTTCGGTCGTAGTCAAAGGAAGTTACAAATCCCACGCGACAATTTCCCTGAAATCAGCTGATTGCTCCCATGTTATGCAACTTAATTGCTGTCGAAAACAACATGTTTCGGAACCTCACGTCAGCAGAGCGCGCTCGTGAGAGCGAGAGAAGCTGAAGCCGCCAGACATTTGTTTAGAGCTAAGCTGATTCGACCAAACGGTTTTCCCGCCATCGGTATGTCATGGGTTTGTTGACCATTGAGGCGAATGGTGCCATTTTGCGGTAGACCTTGCCTCGCTTCATCCTCTGCCCAAAAACATATTGCGCCCATGATGGACAGGCGAGTGGGGCCGCTTACTGTGGGAGTGACTGAAGTGGGCGGCTCCCACACCTCACGGAGCGCAGCGGCAGACAGAATGTACCCGAAGCCGTGCCAAAGATAAGGCCGGCGCGATAATGTGTGGCGAGTACATGCCCGCCTACGTGCGTGCGTGCGTGCGTGGCAGCCCATGTCCGGTGGGGCCGGCAGCTGAGTTTCAAGCTCCGACATATTTTTAGGTACTCATCCACCCGCTGCACAGATGACAACAGACGTGACGGTAACACGGTGTCAAGTTGATTGAATAACACTCTGTGTCGTAACGCCCGTGATGTTGAGAGCAATACTCTGTACTGTACCACATCTTCCCAAATAGGGTCATCCGTGCATGCAAATGAAAAAATAAACGGCTCACTTCGAAGAAATACACCCCCCTCCCCTTTTCTTTGTAATAGGTGTTTGCAATTACCTTTACAATGGCATGAGTACCTTGGACTGAGTGCTTCTGCTCAAGATGGTGAAGGTCCGGCAGAATGTGCATGCAGTTGATGCAGCAATAGGTAAAGAAGTCAAGCAGCACCACTTTTCCTGCCAGCTCCCGGTCGAAAGACAGCGGGCCCTCCGTGTTCAACCATTCCAGACCTGCGGCCAATGCACAAAGGAGAAAATCATCATGCAGCTACCGATTCCAGCATGGCTGTATTCCTGTGAAACGGTCGGTGCTAAACCACCACCCGCTGGTGTGTTGAGGGAACGCAGCATCGCACTCGGTCAACGAATACAAAAACAAACTCTGACTTGAAATCTTTATTTTCAACCCATATTGCTGTCTTGAAATATCACAATGCATTCCACAGATCCATAACCCTTAGCTCGAACACTCGCTTGACACGACGATAATTTAAAGACTTCATCTCGGTAGCTTGATCGAAATGGTTTGCTTGGGCATGTTTAGTTAGAATGCATTCACGCGGACCTGATCAGAAGACAAAACGACTTCGCACGGGAATCCCGGGAGTGAGGCGACGAACGCCTCGCATCTCGTTCACACTTGTAGCTCTGCGAGCTAAGCCCAAACATCGGCGCGGGTGCCAGCGGCCACGGCTTACCGGTCTCAAAGTCGGGCATCTTGAGGTCTTCCCTCTCGTCCATGTCTCTGAGATATTCATAGACGAGAGCTTCCATCGACTCTTGCGTCGCGGCGTCATTTAAAGCGCAGTCGAGCACACTTTGAAGAGGAAACAGAGTTGACAAGCTGCACCCGGAAGCCATGTTCTCGAAACGTCAGCGAGCCCTGTCGGGTAAACGTCAACATGTAGATCCGTACCGCTGCTTTCGACAAAACATGACTGAAATAAATGGAACTTGTCGCGCGATTATGTGGGTCTCTTTATCACATTAAAGCAAAAACAACGTTGTACTCTCCTGTTTGGATTTACAGTAGTGCAGTCGGAGGCAAAGGCGCAGGTGCGTACGCGTTTCAAGAACTGCATTTACTTACTTATGCGGAAAGTGGTGACGGCATCGTGTCGATGTACTCAGCGGCTTTCGACAAATGTATGATAAATGTAAGTTAACATTTTAAAAATTCATACGATTTTTTTAAAATAATGTTTCGAAATCATATTAAATTTCAACAATGTTTTACTCTCCTATTTGGATATTCCCTTCAAATTGTTTGAAAGTGCTGCTTCGTTTCAAGTTCTGCATTTACCTAATTCAACCTGGCATTGCGGCGAGAAGCGCCTGATGTCAACCTCATTCAAGTTTTTCCGATCAGCCGATTACGTCAATTTATAATTCCACCTCATAATGGTTCGCGGATCTAGTTGTCAGTATTGTTTTTTTTTTCCGACAATCATCTGAATCCAAATGGTAATAGCCGTTAATTCTCTTCTTATTACGAGAGCTTTCTACACGTCGTGTTGTGTTTCGTGACGCACGGAAGTTTTCGCTTTTACCCCAAATGTCCCAGAAAACCGGTTCCGAAAGTGACATTTGGGAGTATAAACCCCTCGCGAAGAAAAGGAAGAGACACGAATCGTCGTCCACTCGTCGAAATGCGGCCAGGAGAAGATGCACCACGGAGATAAAGTCATGTAACACCCGAGATAGTCCAACCACCCCGAGGGACGTCGCTGTCAATGTGAACAATGGACAATGTGATGCCAGCTCGTCGTCACTTGCAAATGAGGCACGAAATGTTGACAGTGAAGCCAAGGAAGCCTATTGTCCCATTTGCCAGATGCCATTCTGTATTTTATTGGTGCAGTCGCAAAGATGGCATGTTGCTGAATGTCTGGACGAGGCAAGGGACACATGCAAAGGTAGGTGTCTAATTGGGGGGGGGGGGGTTGTCACATTTTGTTGCCTCTATGCGCAATTTTGGGTGGGTCCATTCTTGTCCATGGTTTTCACCAGTCTCTTTCAGACTGATGCCTTCAGTGCAGCGTGGGTTTCCCATGTGTTGTCCCTCTCGTAGAATGTCCTGATGGTCTCCTGTGCTCCTCCGCCATTCCAAACCACTACAAGAAGTTCAACCACATGCAGTTGGCCTACGCTCGAGCCAACGGCCACGCTTTGCCGAACCACTCACAGGACCTCGAGTGCTGTAGTCCGAACCGTTATGCCTCCGGAGACCACATGGAGGCGCCACCCTCGCCGCCGCCATCCCAAGCCACGAACGGCCCCCTGTTGCTGATGCTGCGCTCGCCCGGGCCAGACGACATGAAGAAGAAGAAAGGCTGGTCTTCCAGTGGCCGTTCTTCTGTTACCTCCTCGCAAGAAAATAGGACGGAGACGCCGGCGGAAAAGCAAGCGTCTCAGGACAGGGAGGATCGAATATCTTACTCTCCTCTTTCCGAGCTCCCCGCTGACAAAGACGCAGTTCATGAAGACGCATCTGAAGATGAAGACTCCATGGTTCTCTTCAGCGAAGACGAGCCGCTTCCGGATGGAACGGATCGTCCCGAAGACACCGGTGGAGTCTCGCCGATTGCTGGCGAAAGTCTTGGATCCCCCCAGAGAATGGTTTTAGAGCAATTGAGGCAAAGTCTTCGAGGCTTACCTTTTGGACCCTCCCAGTCCAGCACAGTGCCTCATCGTAAGGGTCCGAGCGGGGCGGGTCGGGATTCCGGACTCAAGCAAACGGACATTGGGGTGTTTTTCGGCCTCAAAGCATTGAAGGCGGAGGAGCAAGCGGAGACTTCCGGGAGTGCGGCCAGCGGGGCTTCCTCCAGGAGGAACGGGATGAGGAACGCGGCCGCTGATGCAGACCGAGGCGGGGACGATGGCGGTCACGGTGGCAATGCGGTGGAGGCGGGAAGGAGGCGGACCAAAGAGTGGGGAAACAAATGGCGGAGCAAAGATCAGCATGCGGATGCACAACCACGGCGGTGTCCGTTTTATAAAAAGATTCCAGGTAAGTGACCTCCTGTGCCCCCTACGCTCACCAGCACAACAGCACGATGGCTTCTTCTTCCTCAAGCTCTTTTACCAGGAACTCTTCAGATTGTTGTTTATTTTTTTGGGGGGGGCGTACAAACGTGAATTTTCAATATATCCTTTGCTCAGGCACAACGTTTGCCATCGACGCCTTCCGGTATGGCGCCATTGAAGGCATCACCGCCTACTTCCTGACCCATTTCCACTCGGACCACTACGGAGGGCTCACCAGGAAGTCCACATTTCCCATCTATTGTAACAAAGTAAGCCAAGATGCCCCCCCCCCTTTTTTTATGCGGTAAGTCGCGTGTCTTAATGCTTGGAAGCGGCCGTTTCCAGATCACAGGTAACCTGGTGAAGAGTAAGTTGAAGGTGGCGGAGCAGCACGTGCACATCCTCCCCATGAACACCAGGGTGAGCGTGGAGGGGGCGCAGGTCACCCTACTCGACGCCAACCAGTACGTCAACGTCGTTTCTCGTCTTCTTTTGCAAGCATCGGCCAGCGTAGCTTCTTCCATCTGTGATTTTTGCATGCACTCGCCGGAACGAGCTCTCACATCTTGAGTGGGAATCAATCTAGTTGTCCGGGTGCGGCCATGTTGCTGTTCTTCCTGCCCAACGGACAGACCGTCCTCCACACGGGCGACTTCCGAGCCGATCCCTCCATGGAGGCGTACCCGGAGCTGCTGGCTTGCAGGGTGCACACGCTCTACCTGGACACCACGTACGCAACACTCTCAGTGCGCACCTTCCATGAAATCATCGGATGGCTAACCGCCTGGTCCTCACAGTTATTGCGGCCCGGCGTACACGTTCCCCCGGCAGCAGGAAGTCATCAACTTCGCCGCCAGCACCAGCTTTGAGTCGGTGACGCTGCACCCCCGCACCCTCGTGGTGTGCGGATCCTACTCTGTGGGGAAGGAGAAGGTCTTCTTGGGTTAGCGTCTCCTTGCTTCCAACATGTGATTGTCAGATTTTTTTTTTTTCCCTCTCCAGGAACAAATAAGAAACCGGTGAAATCATTTCTTTCTCTGTAGCCGTGGCGGAGGTTTTGGGCTCCAAAGTGTGCCTCTCCCGGGACAAGTACAACACCATGTGCTGTCTGGAGTCGGAGCAGATCAAGCGACGCTTGACCACCGACTGGACAGCGGCGCGGGTCCACGTGCTTCCCATGATGCAACTCAACGTCAGAGTAGGCCAAGGCACCAGGAAGGCGTTGTGATTGTTCTTGCGGACCATGTCTTTGACTGGAAATGATCCCTCGGCAGAAGCTGCAGGAGCACCTGGGGAGGTTCTCCGGCCAGTACGATCGTCTGGTGGCCTTCAAGCCCACCGGCTGGACCTTCAGCCAGCAGATGGCGTCGGTGGAAGACATTCAACCCGTCGTCAGTGGCAACGTCTCAATCTATGGTGTGCAGCCTGTTCGGTTTGGAGTCCGGTGCCTTTGCTTGAGCCTGCAAATCTTCTCCTTCTTGGCAGCAAAGCCAACTTCAGCCTCACCTCGCCTTGTTTTGTCAGCATAGTTTCTTCTCATTTCAAGCGATTGTAATGTATTTTTCTTGTTTCATCTCCAGGGATTCCGTACAGCGAGCACAGCAGCTTTGCGGAGCTGGAGCGTTTTGTCCAATGGCTGCGCCCGCACCGGATCGTCCCCACGGTGAACAACGGCAGCTGGGCCGCCCGAAAGGCAATGGAGAAGCACTTTAGCGAATGGCTCGGCGGAAACTCAAGCACGTAAATTAATCGGGTCAAGAATAAACCGGAGCCGTGTTACGATACGATGCAAATGTATGATGTTGCTGCAGTGTTTATGATGTACTTTTTTTGTTTTTCCAATAAAGTTCTCCAACAATAAATGTTTGAAATTTCTCACCGTGTTTGCTTTTGACATTGAAATTTCTTCGTGTTGTTCTTTTATTGTTTTCGTGGGCCGATGTATGTGAATGGGCTCATGAAATTGGTTGCTGTCAAGGCTGCTGGGAAAACGCAGTAGGAGGCATCCTAAGTAACGCGCACACACACATACACAGACTTAAAAAAAATAAAATATGTACCTTTTCTTAAGAGAATCCAATCCTCGCAAAAGACAAAACGACTCCTTCGCTTTGAGATGAGCTGACCAAGGTTTTCCAATCCGCTTGTGCGTTGCTTCTGTTTGACTTGAACGTCTCTCTCCTCCGGGACGCCGAGCTCAAGACTTGAATGGCGAGCAAAACAAAAATATTCCAAAATTCACATCATAAATGTATCAAAACGTCAGAGAACCGACAATAAAATGTTCATTGGAGGACGAATATTACGGACACGTGTGTGTCTCACCTCTCCGCAGGAGGCTCAACGGTGGACCCGCTGCTTCAATCTCAAGTGTCCTCTCAGCGGTGGGCTTTCAGGATGTCCGTCTACAACCTAAATTCTCAAACACATTTCTTTGATGAAAGTGGATGAACGAATTCCCAACAGTCTCTTGTGTTCATCGTGTAGCACCTCAAATATGAATCTCACTTTTCTTTGTAACACATTGAGTAGGAACTTGTCAGACTCACGGTGACTGCGCACTGACGTTGATGATGAGCCAAATCACCTCTCCCCAAATCACTCAATATAAAACGTGTGAAATGTATATGTACAATTGTTTACTTTACACACATTTCTTTTATTTACAAGAAACAACCAATGATTTAACAAAATAAATAAATGTTAGGATGTACGTGGTATGATGTGCTACAAACTACTCAGCTCATAACAGAATAAATTCATGTTTAATACAAGAAATTTTTGCATAAGCATTCTTCTGTTTGGATCATATATATATATATATCTATATATCTATATATAGATATATAGATATATATATATATATATATATATCTATATATCTATATATAGATATATATATATATATATATATATCTATATATAGATATATATATTTTTTAATTATTCCTTTTCAACAATCTTTACAATTTGAACACTGGTTCAGATGATATTCTCTTTTTAATTCATGCATGCATCCAAATCCTTTCAAATAAATCAATGAGGACAACAGCATTTAACACCATAAAGCATTTAAAATGGAACCCCGAAATAAAAAAAAAAAAAAAATGGCACAAACACTCCTTTCCGCACATTTTGGGCACCACGTCACTGATCAGAGATCCATGGGAGGCGAGGGATCAATACTCGGCTTTGGGTTTTAAAATGGCAAGTCTGGCATTACTCAGATCAATCGCACTTTCGCCGCTGGTGCTCAGCATGGAAGTGTGTTTTCAAATTCTGAAAAGACTGATGGAGAAAGAAAATAAATAAAAACAACACACCGGTTTCGTTTGAGAATGAGTGCGGGAACATGGAGATTGGGTGGTTCACACTTGCCATCGTCAATAGCTGCCTCTGTGAGTGACACGACGACGTTGGGCCATAATTGGGCTCTTATCAATTAAAATATTTTTTTTTCGATTTTAATTGATATGTTACGTGATTTTTTTTTCATTGTGGCACCAAATTGGGCCAAAAACTGTGTTAATATGATCATTAAAAATTCGATTAAATGGTTCATTTATACACCGAATGAGCTGGTCCACAGATGCCGATAAATTGCCCTTAAAAAAAAAAACGACAACAAAACAAACAAACGAATGTTCAGGAGGTAGTTAAGAGTATAATCAGGAGAGACGACACTATCGCTGTGAATTTCAAATGAAGTTGTTGTTCTTCAATACAACTCGGGATGGTATTTTACTAGATTTCATTGGAGCGCTGCAGAGAAAATCCACAGTTGCTTTGAAATGGATTGGGGATCATTTGAAAACATATCCCAGCACTCATGTGACCCTTTGGGCCAAAGCCTCGTCCTGCAGCTGCTCATCAGAGACACTTGAAATCGATTCATTTCGTTCAGCTTTAGCCATGCTGGGAAGATCATGAAAAACAGATTGAGCTGGCCGCGCAAACAAAAATGGTGGGCGCCAGTCAACTTGAGTTCTACGGCTTTGGCTATAGGTCACATTCATGGCGGAGAAAGTTTGGAAATGATTTTCCTTGGTTTCATTTTGATTTTTTTTTTATATCACCATAACTTGGTAATCGAACAGAGGTGTGTCCACTTTGGATAGCTACTCATGGCTGATCACATCCAGTCCAGCACGTCAACATCAGGATTATAAACGGAGTGAGAGTTTTTATTTTTAAGTTCATGAGACTTGACCCTTTTCTTGCCAGTAAGGGAAGATTTTCGACGCTACGTTGACTCACTTTACGGGACATGAATGAACCTGAGGATGGTAGTTCCAACTTGAAGCTGCTGGTTTGGTTTTTTTTTTTTTTTTTTTTTTTTTTGGTCGTAAAATGTTAGCCAAGCGCATGAACAGGATTGAAACCACACTCTCATTGTGGTCATTTTGCGCAGACGATGGGCACAAGAAAATGGCAGCGACAAGTGCGGCAACAAAAGTGAAATGGGAGTAGAAGAACATGCATATCTCACGATGCCTGCTGGCAAAGATCCGATCAAACGTGACGCCACTGTTGTGAAGAAAAACCTGAAGAAGATGGAGGGGGAGGGGGGGGGGGTGGCAGCGACAAGTGCGGCAACAAAAGTGAAATGGGAGTAGAAGAACATGCATATCTCACGATGCCTGCTGGCAAAGATCCGATCAAACGTGACGCCACTGTTGTGAAGAAAAACCTGAAGAAGATGGAGGGGGAGGGGGGGGGAGCGTACCGCTGCGTGGACGGCCCTGAAGAGGCGGCGCTTGCTGCGCTCAGTTGAAATAGAGCTCCTTGGTCAGCATGGAGACCACGCAGGGGATCTGCTTCTTCTCGCTGAAGCGCGGGTCCTCGGACCAGGACTCGAAGCTGGTGGCCACCATGTAGTTGACGCGCGTCAGGATCTGCATGATCTCCAGCTGCTTGCCGAACTCGTTGAGGACGTTGCACAGCGCCTGCACGAACCAGGAGCCGCGCCCGGGGTTCCTCCACGAGTAGTAGCCTGCCCGGGGGGACGACTCGTGAGAATTGCGGGTGCAGCCCTCGTGTCGGACGTCGGG